CATCTTACATATAATATACTATCGAGCCTTGACTCTTACTGTCCGTAAGAGTCAAGGCGGACAATGTCAGTGAAAATGCCACGATGTTTGCGTCGCATTATTCTTAAAAAAGATCTTTTATAATTTTCGTTTCATATATTCTAATGGGCTTTTTTATAATTTAAATAAACATTATTTTTCTACAACATCAACCCGTTAACAGTCCCTTCTAGACATGGATCTCTATCATAGAAGGGAAGATCTCCCGTACTAGCCACACTTAACTAGCTAGTTCAGCGATCGCAGTGCCTGACTTCTTGTATCTATTATTGTTTTTGCACGTGGTAGAGCCATGCTGCAACTATATTAGTAGTGTAGTTGTAGGAGGATGGATGTAGATGTGACCCATAGCCACAGCAACCACTTACCATCAGGTGGACTGTGTGCTCGTTTGTCACCCTATCCTATAAAAAAAAAATCTTTGGCGCTACTACCTCTCACCGGTTTGGATAGATATTTTACGTCCTGAAATTTATGAGATACCTACTAACAACACGATCTATCGGTTGTTTTGAAATCTTGGCATTTTTATTCACTCCACTCTCTTATGTTGCTACCACACAAATTAGAATAATTGGATGTATATGTATATTTTCGCGTTCTATTGAAATAACTTAGTTCGCGAGTAACCAGATTTCGATTGCCGCCAGTACCAATGAAAAATTTAATTGCAGTTTTAAGTGTATTTTTTTTACCATTTACCACAAGTTTGGTGGTGTAAGAAAACTTCGTGGGGAAACCTGCATGTCTGAGAAATTAAAAGAAATATTTCGAAAACAGGTAAGGACCGCCAACACGCATTGGAGCAGCGCGGTGGTGGATATTTTTTGTCCTAAAAACCTCAGAAATAAGAAAAGGTCTGTGCCCAGAAATGGGACGCATATAGGCTGTAATTTTACTTTACTATGATTACTTTTCCAATTATTTTACATTGCATATAAACACTGGTTAAAGTAAAGAATGGAACGGCATACCCGGCGATAAAGCTTTCAGTTTTAATAAAACCTAAATTAAAATAATACTAATTTTAAAACAATGATGTTAAAGAAATTAGGTCTGTATTGTTTACAAAACTAACGACATGCAAATACTGTTATTTTTAGTTGCGAGCTCAGGTAGAGCTTTCGAGTTTCTAACGCATGAAGGTCAGATCATGATATACGCACTCGCATAGTACCGTAAATTCACATGCAGCCAGCAAGTGCGTTGAATTAAAACGAAAAAAAAATGATCTACGAAGATAACTTTATGTTTACAACATATTAATACGTGATGATTGATGAGAAAACTTTAGCCCTTTTTAAGCAGGATCGTGTGCACGTAGAAGTATGAGATTTGGCATAGTTAAGGTTTAGTGCGTAAAGCTGGTATCACTAGTATTAATATACATGTAGTTGACACAATTCCATAGTCACAATGTATAAATAATATATATCAGTGGGAATTAATGATTATATCGAACAATTGTAATAACTACATTAATATTTTATATTATAAAGATAATATAATATTGGAAATACTATATTTACATATTTTCGATACTAAAGTAGTATACTTAGTCTTTTATATATTATACCTTATTACATTTCCTTCTAAAATAGATTACTTAATCTATCTTATCATCTTACATGTTTATGTACTATTTTGCTATGTAGTTAATCCGTTTTTATCTAATTCCTTTTACGATTATCATCCGCTAATCATAAAAACAATTAGAAACGTATTTTATCTAACTCCCGAAGACATTCCTTAAATTTGTCTTCATATAAATTTCGAAGAAACAAAACATCTAATTGCACATTGTTTTTGCAAGAGCTTCTAAAAAAGGAGGCTGCGAGGGGTGTGACTGTTCTATACTTTAATGACTTTCAATAAGAATTACACATGTAATGTATATTGAATAAAAAATATTCTATTCTATTCTATACGATCCTTACGTTTTTCTTAATATATATCTTTACTGAATTTTCGGAAATGAAGAATCATGAACAATCAATTGCCACCCTTGAGAACTAAGATGGAATGCCTCGTTTCCAGTAAAATGGGTCTTCGGTTCTCTACAATCACTATACGAAACACAGCAGCATTGAGCTGCTATTTTACGCTATACAATGGCTTTTATTAAATAGATTATAATTAAGGGATGATCCCATATAAAAGTAAAAGAAAAATTATACACCTAAAGATGGAAAATGGGAGTGAAGTTTTTAATGTAACTATTTAGACGAAATTCCTGTTCTTATCTTGAACTTGGTATATTTCTTAGCCCACCTATAAAGGTAAAATATTTAAAATTTTGATAAAAAGTAAAACCATATTTCTCGAACTCGGTTCGCTTACATGATAAGAAGTGAATATTTTATGTCGTAATTGAAAAGGGTTTTTGCACTCGTAATTATTTTTTTTATGTTTACCTTTGCTATTTAAATAACTTCGACATTTATTTTTCATTCATTTTTATTTGTTTCGAGACGTACATAAATTGGGGTGGCCTGTTACTAACGCGTTCTGTAACTATCTATTATTATTTACTTATCTTGGACTTGGGCCTCTCCTTCTCTAGGAAGGATTTCTGCCTTAATTGCTATTATATCGTCCCTTTGACGTTGCTTCATATCGTCGGTCTGATTATTTTGTATCTGGCATATATATAGATATATGGATTACCGCAGTATATCGGAGATTATGAGCACGTGAGTAAAGAAACCGACTTACCTTACTCTACTTTACGCTGTGGTATTAGGTCTTTCTGACCATTGCTCCTGTGGCATCCACTTTAAAAATTTAGGTAATAAGGAATCAGGGTGGTTACCACCCGACAATGACTTAATAAAAAGAAATAAAAATAATTTTACTAGGCACAATAAGTACTTCTATGCCTTTAAGAATCTTTTCGTTTTGACACAATACAATTCCTTATACCATCCTTGGAAATTATCTAATCTAAATTTATTTAGCTATGCTCTTGGTATAAAAATATTTAATAATGTTTTCTAATCCCTATGATGTATAGGAATTTAAAGTTATTTCATGTATATCTTATAGTTTTAAGCATCAACCGATGATAGACAAAAACATTTTTAGAACATTCTTGTCTACAGAATGCTTAACGTCAAATTTAAGCCTCAACTCAAAGTTCAAGGAGGAAAACTTCATAATATGAACTTGCTATTTTGTGAATTATCACAATTGCACAATTATTAAGAAAATTTATGCGTTCTATTATTGGTACAGTCTATATGGTATATCATAGTCAGGTCATAAATTCTGTCACATGTTTAATATAAAATAATTGAAACAAGTTTATTCATTATGTAACCATTTATATACCAAAATGAACTTAACAAAACATAGATTCTTATGACACTAAAGTTTATTCAAATTGACCTCCGTGATTTTGAATACAGGCCTTCAATCTGCGCGGCCAGTCGTCTATCGCAGCACGAACGAGGTCCATGTCAATATCGGCGGCTGCCTTAATCAAGGATGTCTTGAGTGACTCCAAATTGGGATGAGGCTTTGAGCACGCCTTTTCCTCCAAGTGTTGCCATATCTTGTAATCTAACGGATTCAAATCTGGACTGGAGGAGGGCCAGTCTTCGTGCCGGATGAAGTCGATTTCACGCGCCGCCAGCCAGTCTTGTGTGCTCTTCGCTCTATGAGCTGGCGCCGAATCTTGTTGGAATACCCAGTGCCTGTTATTGAACATGGTATGAGAAACAGGTTCCACAAGGTTCGTCAGGACTGTATTTTGATACACAACTGCATTCGTTTTTACACCTTTCTCACAAAAATGTACCTCTGTTAAGCCCCAATAAGAAACTCCCAACCATACCATGAGCGAGGATGGAAAATGACCTCGTTGGACACGCGGAATACGGTTGCTCGCTTCTTCACTACTGTGTGCGTACACCTTATCATTTTGTTTGTTGTAGCTCTCTTCTACGGTAAAATTTTTATCATCAGAAAAAAGAATTTCCCGATATTTTTTTCCCGCGTACCGCTTTAACAAAGCGCGGCATCTCTTCAGTCTCAGGTCCATTAGACGAGCATTCAAATAATGTCCTGTTTTTCTTCGATATGCCCGAGGCCCTAAGTCTTCATTTAACACCCTTTTCACCGTGATTCTGCTTAACCCCATCTGAAGGGCCAACAGTTTCTGCTTACGTTTGGGATTTCTTTGAATTCGCGCCTTCACAGCTTTTATCACTGCTGGAGTCCTAACAGACCGAGGGCGACCACTTCTTGTCTTGACCTGTCATCTACACTAGAGTCTTCATTGTATCGTTTGATGGTACGATAAACGAATCTTTTGGTTATATTCAAATTTTTCAGTATGTCAAAAATTTGAATTGGCGCGTAACCGCAACGCTGCAACGCAATAACTGCAACACGGTCTTCTTTAAGCGTCCACTCCATATTTAAAAATGAGTAAAATTCTAAAAAGTATACAGTTTTATTTTCATGAACAATTCGAAATTCGCATTCAATAAACTTTTTTGTGGCCAGCATTCTAAAAGAAAAGTTTTTACTGTGTGACAATACTTACGACCTGACTAGGTATAGTGTATGTGGAGTGTCGGTCGTTGTTTTATCAACAGTTCTATAGAACATTAGCCAAGGCTTTTCATGGCGGTAAATCACGTGGTGGGGAATGGAAATATTATAATAAGTAAACAATCACAGTTCGTTTACTAAACTTGCAAAATGTTCATTCGAACAAGTATTTTGTAAATTAATTGTTGTTATATTTCCACTGGAATGAGCGTGGCGACCCTACGGCTAATTAATAGTCGCTTTAAGGTCATTTTATCTCTTGGCTGTCTTATATTCATTTAGGTTTGCTTTAAAGGCTATAAAATAATCTTCTTTGTCTGCTCCAAAATTAAATGTGTTATTTCATATTTACATGTATTTTAAATATGTAAAATGTTGTGTTAACATTTTTTTTCTTTTTACAGAAGGTCGACCCCGAGCTGATCTTCACGAAGCAAGAGAAGATCGGCAAGGGCTCCTTTGGTGAGGTTTTCAAGGGCGTCGACAACAGGACGCAGCAGGTCGTTGCCATTAAGATTATTGATCTCGAAGAGGCCGAAGATGAGATTGAAGACATTCAACAGGAGATCATGGTGCTGTCACAGTGTGATAGCCCTTACGTCACAAAATATTACGGATCATACTTGAAGGTAAGTCATGTCTGATTTTTTAATTTCGCAGAACGAATTTCAAGAAATGTTTTGAACATTATTGATAATGTTTAAGTTTATTGGTCGCGTAGGAGCTGTATATAAAAGTTTAAATCATTGAAACTGCATAAACTGGGCTCTGATGTGAGTTCATTCTTGAATATAAGTATAAAATATATAAGCTAAAACTTGGAGAAAAGAGTCACACCAATCAAATGTACATTACTCAAATATATTGACAGCTTACATCTGCATTGGTAGTGAACTGCGGATAGATCATGACGTAATTCCCATCAGGCTTGCACATAACAGGAGCCATCAATCATTGTCTGTAGCGGGCGTTGCGGGCGTTCTATCGCAGGCTCGTTTTTGAAGATGAGTACCATAATATTTAACGTGCATTACCTTCAATACTATTGCCTCTAAATACTTGGAGTATTTGGATATTGTAGGTAAGAATACATTTTAATCTTCGTCATTATACGTAGCTCGGGTGTTTATAATCATTTAAAATGCTTATAATGCTTACATGATCAATATAAAAAAAATAAGTTTTTCCAGTTACATACACAGGTTTAATAAAAAATAAAAAACATGCGTCAGTGTCGAGGAACACTCTGTTGGAAGTTCCTTTCGTAGTATATTATTATTAATAAACGTATTAGATAGATAGATAGATAGATAACTCTTTATTGCATTTATACAAAGTGGTTACAATTACGGAATATATATATATATATATGCAAACAAAATTAAACATTAATAAAATTATGAAGTTATTTTATTATATTATTGATTAACAAATACAAATAATTAATTATACTAGCGTCTATTAAAATGAAGCGTCATTTAAAATAAAATAATATTTCTTTCATGGCATGATAAGAAAAATTGCGAGTGAGATCGATATTATACTATCTCGCTTTCTTATTGCCGCCAAGGTCGTCTACACTACGTACGAAGGGGTCGTGAGTCGTGACGGAAAAATCTTACAGCTTTTCTCGCCTATCCCTCATCCGCCAATTTCGTACCGTCAGGAACTTCGTTCCAAAAAGAACGATATAACAGGAAGGAAGGTTGAAATAAAACATTATTACACAACAATAAAACATGTATTCTCCCTTAACCGTAACAATGTTTTCCCATCTGTCGAATAACATATTCGTATCGTCAAGATAGGCAGAAATTGTCGATTTGACTTTAGCATCGTTGTTAATATTTTCCAAGCAGCTGTTTCTTCATTATTAAGTTAATTTAATTAAACGTTTATTATTCGCGTAAATATAAAAAATTATGATAGTGTTTCAATCGTTTTAGCACCATATTAGACACTTTCTGTAATTTATAATTTCAGTCCTATTTCTAATTAAGTATCGATAATTCTTACATACCGTGCACTATTTATTTTTAATTAGTACTAAAATAGTACTAATTTTATGAATGTTTATCATGAGCGTTTGAAATTGAAACTTCAATTAGATAGGTTCTATTTTCGTTGCCAGAAGAAACATTCACCCGATTACGATACGCGTTCGCGTGCACTATCGTGGCGACTAACAACTTTGCCGTCACGAAGACCTAAGGTCAGAACAAGACATAACGACCGGTTTATTATATTCAAAAGCGTATGAACTCTCACGAAATTGGGACACAGTTTCATAAACGTAACCGTCGAAAAGCTGAATCATGATTGGATAAAATCTTTGTACATTTGGAAGGATATAGTTCCCTCATACTCGTGGGGGCGTCGCATTAGTTGGTGTGAGGAACAATAACTTATTAATTATTCTGTGAGTACGATTACTCATTATAGCATAAATATGAAATAGTGTTTTACTCCAGGCATATAATATATACGTTATTCACTTACATATTTTAGCGCTACAAAATTTTCAGTTTTTAATATTTTTTTTTAATCGTAGAACTTTTCCATATTATGTTAATTTTGTTTCTTATTGAGAAAAGTATTTCTTTTATGCGCGTTAAAAACCTATCAAAGACATCTTGTCATCATTTTTACCTGTACGTAATGTCAATATTTTCACATTTATTACGTCGTCCAGGAGGGCCTAAGGTGCCACAACTTTGGAATTGCGTAAATGAGCAAGATATTTTCTAAAATCATATAAAAGCTTTTCTTTAATTATACATTTTATTTACGGCCCGTATTCGTTATTTGAATAAAAAGTGAGCTTTCTGAACGCTTTCCTTTAGATGCTTTAGTGAAGCGGGTGGCGTCTCGTTACAGATTGTACAATAAAGTAATTTTCGAGCTGTCTTGTGATTGATATTTGCATTTTTATCATTCTGCAGTTGCGCCCCGCTTTATTACTTTAGCCGACTTTCTTTCTTTAATATATAGCGAAAGTTCTATTCCAATGGATAAAAGGAAGTTCGTTCATGCCCTGTTGTATATATTCCGGGGGTGGGGGGAGTACGGTTTGGTATTGAACTAGATCATGAACTAGTTCATTATCTCTAAGTATTAAAGCTCCACAGCATATGTTGTGACAGAGCTCAAGAATCTGAAATGAACAAGCCTCTCAGCAACAGGATCTTCCTTGCATCTAATAGAAGAATTATTACAACGAACAGAACCACGATACTGTCATTGTTACCACGATACGAGTCTTAGTACTTGTAGAATGATGAAATAAGTGAGACTTGTAGGTATTACCTCCTCTGCGCGATACTTTATACTGCTAGAACGAGTGGGAGATTACAGTTCTACCATCATTTCTTCGTGTTTTCTTTTATCTTTTTACCCACATTCCTAACAATATTTAAATTTGGAGCAACACACTCAAATAGAATTATACCTTTAAGACTTATATTCTTTTTCTATTCCCTTATGATTTTTGCTTAAAATATTTGTAGGACATATAAGTCCATCAGAAGCACGAGAGCAGCGTTGCAGACTACTTGCTCCAAACTTGTGGTTAGTAGTGGAACGAATATAGACTATAACTTTTACCTTTTCATGAGCTTGTAAATAGGTTCATTATGCAAATTTAATTCTCCGATTTTAGTACCTAATCAGCATTATCGTAACATTTTTTATTAAAGAGCCGTGCAAATGTCTACAAATTTTTGCCGCGTTTATCATATTATGTTGCAAGTGTAAAAAAAAATTGATATTAGTAGAAATAAGTTAATTTTACCCTTATTACATGGTAAATAAATAGAAAATAAAATAAGTTTAAGAGAAAAATCCAAATTAGCCATAGTTATATTTATCGCGTATACACTACGTCTTTCGTCACCTCATTTCCACAGACTACTGTGAGAGTGTTTACCACCAAAGCAAAACATACCAGTGCAAGTATAACCCACCTGGGTTAGTGGGCGCAGAGCCTAGACCAGCATTAAGGACCATATCTTATTATCTTCATATGTCCAGCAATGGAACAAAGGATATTAGAGAAAAAAGGTAAAGGGAAGTTACGATACTGTTTTTATTTTTCAATTTAAAGTACAATTAAAAAGTGAAGCGTCAATAGCCTAATGTGTAAAATGGCAGGTCGCAGACCGCTAACTCGAAAGGTCGTGGGTTCTAATTTCATTCGATTAATGACATGAACCACTTCTAACACAAGCATTTTAAGCTTACCAGAAGTGGTTAAAGGGAACATTAGTGATGTTTAATAGCATTAATAGCGTTTAAAATATAATTATTAAAAGTCTCAATTAGAGGTTAATCCTGAAATGTATAATACTAGCTGTTCCCCGCCACTTCGTTCGCGTGAATTTATTACGATTGGATATCATGGGTTTTAATTTTTTTTCTAAAATAAAAGTAGCCTACCTAGAAAGTACCGTCTAAATCAGTCAAGCCATTTCGGAGATTAGCCGGAGCCAACAGAAAGACAGACAGAAAGACAGAAAGAAAGACAGATAAGTACCCTACCGTATATACTTTCTTATGCATTTAGTAAAAAGATGTTATTTTGACATTACAAACAGACACTTTAATTTTATTTATTTGTATAGATCTATAGATATAGATTGCTTCTTTGAAGCACGTCCATGCACGCGCGCGTAGTAAGTAGCGATGCAATGTGTTAACTAAGCAACTGTACCTTCACTTTTCGTCCGTTATTAAGTATTTGCGATAGAAGGAAGACCCAGATAGTGCAATGGTTTTTGATGTGTTGTTGCATTTCTCGCTTTGTGAGCCGCGTCGACTGCGCGCTATTGCAATCTTGACACACTTTCGAATGTTGTTGTTATGCGTACCTTGCAAAACACAACGCAATGAAAACGAGTAACCACTCGAAACTACACAATACACAATATGTTATAAATTATTTTTAATTAATAGTGTATTTAATAGTTGTTTTTAATATGCGTTATTAAACTCTTGTTGCGTAGCGAGTATAACTAAATAATTAAATACGCAGTTTGATTTATGTCTGTGAAGGATTACGAGGGCAAAAAAAATTGATTTGTTATAGTTTTGTTCCAGGTATTTTCTTTATTTTGCGGATATTGTTATATATTTAAATGTTACTGAGATGTAAACACGCAGAACACGAATTGTCACTTAAAATTTCCCACGGTTACGTACTTGGTCAAGTAGCTCAAAAGTCTCGATTTGCATAAACACCAAACGCAATGCAATAGCTATATGAAAGGTGTTTATATCTACTCGTGTGACTTGTGAAAGGGAAGACCATAAGCTTTTGTGAATCTGATGTTACACAACGTCTGTTTTCATGTTGTTTGCCTTTACATTACACAGGTCTTTCTTTACCTTGAATGGAGCACGTTTATTGCATGCCTTAAGCGCGAATCGCGCAGGATGTTCTACTAGGGTCTAAAAATCAAGATTCCAACGTTTTGTCGTATGAAATCGTATCTAACAATCATATTATACATATAAATAATATAAAAAACACATTGTCAGAAAGTTAAATGATTGTTGAACATATAAATTTTTTTATTAAATCGATTAATTGCTATTTTACATAAAAAAGTGATTTTAGTAGCTTATGGTGTGG